ACTCAGCTTATTCATGGTTTTATTTCCTAACCTTTTATTTGATTATTGAAGTAGGATAAATCAGATGTGCCTGAATGGGTGTCTGTCTCTCTCCCTGGCTTGAAGAGAGCAGCAGAGTCAGTGGTGAGGGTGAGGAAAACAGAAATAGGAGGAGCCCTGTGAGCTTGCCATTAGGTGAAGCATGGCCTGTTGTCCATGGAGGTGTGATTTAGGAGTGGGAATTCATGCTGGATCTTGCTGCTCTTACTTGTTTCTAACCTTTATTTCTGTTTTGCTCCCACAGGTGCCTGTGTCTACCAAGGCTCCTTGCATGAGGTAAGTGTGAATGTGTTCTGCTGCGGAAGGGTTTGAGAAGGTGCTCCTGAGCTTGTTTCTGGTCGTGATTTTGGTCACCCCTGCAACTGGGGCACAGGTCACAGATCTGTCAGTCTGGTGGAAAACAGCAGCAGGATCAAGACAGAATAAATACCCTCAGAGAGGTTAGAAATCCTCTCTAGGCTTTTGAACCCAATTTGATGTGTGTCCCTGGAGCTCATTTGGCCAGTATGGGAAGAGATGTGAGAGATTTCCAGGTTCTTGGAAGCTGTAAAGCTCAGAGCAGACACAAAGCTGGTGCAGGTGTACAGCTGGTGCTTATCATCAAATCAAACTGGAACAGCTCAAGCTTGTTGTTCTTGGAACAAGGGCTGTCCTGCCTCTTGTTGGCTGTCATGCCTGAGGACATGCCTTCTTCCCTGGCTGAGCCATGTGTGCTGTGGGAACAAGCCTCGAGAGAGCTCCCAGGTCTCTGTAGAATCCATTCAGGAGGAGGATTGTGCCTTCTGGGTGTGTTTGCTTACAAACCATTTACCCACTGGAAAGAGCTTTCCTGGATGTCAGGAAGGCATTGGGCCAAATGCTGGAGCCTCCCCTGGATCCACAGCATCCCAGGGCATCTGTGACACTAACTGAGCTGTTGGCAAACTCCAAGAGAAACCTGTGGCAACTCTTTTTTTGTGTGTTAAACTATGGTTAGAAACTGTTTCCTTTCGGTGTTTTCTGCTAGGCAGAATTTTTCTCCCTGTTTCATGCAGGGGAGATCACCAACAATTGCAGCCATTGGGATTGTTCAGCCTGGAGAAGAGAAGCTTTGGGGTGACCTAATTGTGGCCTTCCAGTACCTGAGGGAATGACAAGAAAGATGGGGAGGGACTTTCTAGAAGGGCCTGGAGGGGCAGGACATAGGGAATGGTTTCAAACTGGAAGAGAGTAGGGCTGATTAGATATGTGGAAGGAATTCTTCCCTGTGGGGTGCTGAGGCACTGGATGAGGTATCCCGGAGCAGCTGGGGCTGCTCCAGCCCTGGGAGTGTTCCAGGCCAGGTTGGATGAAGCTTGGAGCAGCCTGGGCTGGTGGGAGGTGCCCCTGCCCATGGCAGAGGGTGGGACTGGATGACTTTAAGGTCCCTCCAACCCAAACCACTCTGTGATTCCATGTGCAAGTGGCAGTAGGTGAGCTGCTGCCAGGTTATTCCTATCCTAGGAGTGCTGCTTGCCGCAGGAGGCTCGGAATTCACTTGGAAAATCCTTGGTGCATAACCTAGGCATTTAAGTGTAGTGATGCAAGCACTGCAGAGCTGCTGAAATTGTTAACACTGCAGAAGTTGTGCATCTTGCTTGAGTGACTTAGCTCCTGTGTATCAAGGGTCAGCTGGTGTTCATGGCTTTCCTCTGAGGACAAACACCTCCTTGTGTGTGATTCCCAACTGTCTGGAGGTGGTGGTTGTTCCTCCCTCTGGCTTCCCCTTGCAGGGGATTTTCGTATTCACACCAGTAGCACAGCTGTTTTTCTTTACTTAGCAAAGAAGAAAATAGACATAATTTTTTCTTAGCTGGAGGGCACGAGGACCTTTACTTAGCAAAGAAGAAAATACACATGATTTTTTCTTAGCTGGAGGGCACGAGGAGACTTGTGCCACGCTGAAAGTCAGTGTGTGTGGGAGGTGTTGAGCAAACTGCACCTTTCTGCCAGTTGGCTCTTGCTAGGAAGAGTTTCCAGCCCTGGGAGAAGGGGAGGGGAAGCACAGGACTGTGAATTAAGGTGGTTGAAATGGCAGGGGTGACCTGATAAACGACTTCATGTCTGCTGGATGCTGCAGTAAGGAAGGACAAGTGCAGCTGAGCAGTCTCCAGGGCATGTTTGTTTTGTCCTTGGTGGAACATGGACATTGTCCATTGCACCAACTGCTGGTGATGCACATAAGGATGAATTCCTGGATGGACAGAGTCTTTTGGATGTTTCCTGAGACACATGTGGGGCTTCTTTGCCACTATAAAGCACTAAAGAAGCTTTCTTGAAATGTTTATAATCTTGGAGTTTGAAAATTGTGAGCGGAACAAAGTGCTTGAAGTAATCCACAGTAAATGGTGTTGTACTTGTGCTTCTGCCACGAATTTTGCTTCCCCTTTTCCTTTTGAGACAGCCTGAAAAAGGATTCAGGTTAACTGACATGCTTAGTTGACCTGAACATCTGAAGAGAGTTATAGCTCAGATCATCAACTCCATGCCTGTCTGCATTAAGTGGTGTATTTTATTCAAGGCTCTCAAGGAGCTGCTTGGGGAGAGCACCAGAGCTCAGGAGCTGGAGTGGTGTGGGCATGGGGCTGGGAGGGAGCTGCTTGCTCAGCTTCAGAGCTGGTTTTTGCAAGATTTGGCTTATTTGACTGATACCAGTGGTGATTAAACAATGTGAAGTGTCTGACGTGACCCACTGCGTGTGACACATCCTCGTTCGTGAAAGAATCCCCTTAGATCTCATAATGTGGGAGCATCCTGCCCTTACCTGTGCACATTTGTTGTCAGAAGTTTACAGACAGCCTGATTTTATGCTTTTTAAATCAGATTTCCATTTCCATCTGTAGTTTGTGCTGAGGCAGAAATGAAAGGGGAAAAGTAATAAATAGAAAATGTCTTTTTCTCCCCCCCAGTTTTCAATCTCCCACTCCAGAAAGCTTCTACTCTGAATAAATTTAGTGTCTGTCTGAAATAAACGTTAGCAGGTGCAGAGCACTTCTGGCTAGGGAGTATTTCAAATTAGCAGTGGAAAATGAACTTCATTCCAGTTTCTTTAGAAGAATAACAAGTTACGACTGAAAAACGAGCTGAGAAGTGAAGATTTCTGTTGAAGGGTTTCCTTGTTCCCTCATACACTGATCAAGATGTTGTTGTTTTTAAATAATGGGATGTAAATGCTGCTGCTTAGCCCGAGGCTGTGTCCTCGGATCTGCACCAATGGTCTGCAGTTAAGGTTTATTAATACCATAATGAGATGCTTCTCATGTAGCAGACCTCATCTGCTCGTGGCTTTCAGCGAGCTGGGATCTACTGAGGAGCAAAAATAAAGTGGTTTTTGAACCAAGTGTGTGCTGCATGTGTGTTCCTGCCTTGTTTTCTCTGGAAATAACAGCAAAACAGAGAGGAGTGGGGGTAGGCTCTTTATTTCACGGTGCCACATAAAAGCAGCTTAGATGTGAGAGAGTGCAGTGAATTTGTGTCTCTTGATCAGCAAAGAGGCTTTTTTTTTTGTGGACCAGCTCACATTTTAATATGCAATAACAATTCTTTTCTATGTTAGTGCTCCTAAGTGTCACTTTCAGGTCTGAAAAAGTGAACTCTCACGTTGTAAGGACACACAGCACAGCATAGCTGGGGGTTGGTGTGTGCTGCAATTACCACATGCAGATTGTTCTGCAGCAACTCAGGACCTCGTTCTGGGCACCAAGTGACACACAGTAAAGACTGGAGAACTTACTCATGTTAGTTATGTATCATATATAGAGGGTTGGATGTAGTACATACCCATGGAAGAGCACACACTGCTCTTCCTTTCCATGAAGGCACAAGTTGTGACTGAAAGACACATTTATACAGCACCAGCTTGGTTCAACTGCCCATCACCCTGTGTTGGGTCCAGAGGGAGACACAAACAGGCATGGGGTGAAATGGCTCTGGGCTCAGGCACTTTTCTTTCACGGTTTGCACCTGTTGGTCCCACAGAGTCAGGGGCTCTGTTCCCCTGATCTCACAGCTGGGCAGGGGTTTGGGTCCCCACAGCTGCTGTGTCTGGGAGCAGCGTGTGGCACTGGCCAAGCTGCCTCCTGCTTTCCCTGTGAGAGTATCCATGTCCCTTTCCATCAAGTGTCTGACGGGTGAGGCAGGTTTTTCTGCACAAGCACAGTGCCTCAACATTTCCCCTGCTGCAGCTGAAGCACAGAGCTGGTGTGTTTGCTTACCCTGAGGTGATTTATCTGTTCTCCCTAGACAGGTATTTCACAGCTCTGCGCAGTGGGCTGCACACACATGAGATTTATCATCCCCTTCCCTCCTCTTCAGCTCTTTGGTGCATATGTATGTGGCCCTGTTTTTTCACAGGGCACTAGCTCATCAGAAATTGTTCTTTTTCCCTGTTTCTTTCTTGGCTCTCATATTCCAGCAGTGAAGTCATGGTCCTCCTCTGCTGGCCCCAGGTTGGAACCCTTGGGGTGCTCTTCCTAGACAGTCAGGCACGTGTGGTGTGTGTGGCAAGCAGAGGTTGTGAAACAGCTCCTCTTGGCTGTGGATAGCTCAAAGGAAACATGGCAAAATGAATGAAGTGCAAGAGACTATGTTGAGCTTTAACTGGAGCCTGTCCACAAGGACTTTTCCTTGAGTGGCTGTGGTGTTGTGCTGCAGGGGCTTTCCCCTCTCTGCTCTGTCCTGGCTGGTGACACACAGTGCTGTGACCATCACTGTGTCATGGGAGGTTTGTGTGGAGATCAGGGTCCTTAGGAGAGCTGCCCTGCTCCACATTTTCCATTCCAGTGAGCCTCCTGGAGGGGAACCGAACTGTTCAGCCACAAGCACTGACTTAAGTAGATGATTAACATTTAATAACACAGTTACGGGAGCTATATGCCAGAGCCTTGGCAGGGGATGTTGGATTTCTCCTGGATTCATTCACCAGGGCAACACTTGAACAATTACCCAGCAGTTAGAAATTTCACAAGCCATTGTGCCCTCTGCCTTAGATAAGGCTCTTGTCAAGAGCCTCGGTTAGCAAATGATATCTCGTAATTGGTCATTTACTTCTTTTGAAATTCCCATCACGAGAAAATGCCTTTTTCCTGTGCTAGGGTCACTTCCTCGTTCCTTCCCTCTCCTCAGCCCTGTCCAAGCCTGGCTCAGGTTTCCCAGTTGCATGTTTCTGTCTCGAGGAGGGACTGTGATTGATGTTAACTGATGAGAGAAATGATAGAAGTCGGGTCTGGCCAGTGGGAGAAGCCTGCAGCATATGCTGC